TTATTATACAAGATAACTGGCAGGGAGTTGCCACCCAGGTGCCCTTGTATGAAAATCTTGGTGAAGGGAGTAAGTTACATAGTAGGCTGCTACTTCGTCGACGAAGCCCTAGACCGTTACTTCGAAAAAGAACACAGGGGAAACAAAAGTTTTAGATTTTAACACACTTTTTAGAAGTTTTGAAAGTATTTGCAACTAAAGACCTTCTACTATATTTTCGCTATTTTGAAATTTTTTTTGAAATTTTGGCCAAAAAGTGGGAAAACCAGTGTACCCCCTCCAAAAGATCGGCAGTATTTACTCCTTCCAAATTAGGACACGTCTACCGAAATGGAACCTCCCATGAGCTTATTTAGATTATGCTTTGCCAAATAAACAATAACGGCAGTACTGTTTACAGTATAGGAGATCGGAGGAATCACATGTAAAATTTCTTAATGTTAGACATTTTCTTTTATTTTCTTCCACTTCTTTTATTACATATAGTGTTAGATTAGATTTTATTCTATATAACATTATATAATTTATATAGCCTTGCACAGGCAAAAATAGTGCCGTCATGGCCGTCCTTTTTTTCAGCCTTTTTCTCCTTTTCTCTCTTTTTCTTTTTTTGTTTGTTTTTTGTTTTCATTTAGTTTAGATTTTCCCTCTCTTTACTATTCCTTTTATTTCGTAAATTTCCCATTGTTCTTTGGTAGAATTCTTCTATCTAGGAGGCTAGGAGAAGAAGGTTAGAAAAGAAGGCGGTCATGATGGGCTGATGAACCAGGTTGGTGAAACGGGGCAGGTTGGCTTGATGTAGGTTGAACCAAACTGGGGAGATTAAAATCATCTTTGGCAGGTCGCACACAGGTGCATGAATATTTAGGTATTCTATATAAGTAACCAGGTGAGTTACATACCCGTATCTTTAGATGTATTCTTTTTCTTCGGATTTAATTAATGATCAATAAAGCATGGGCATGTAGCATGATCGCTTAAAAAAAAAAAAAAATCTTTAAAATGATTGAGATATCGATCTAAGTTCAAAACTTTTCAATCACCTTACGTATTATATACTGTATATATAATTACTGTATTTTTTTTTTTTTTTGAAAATAATTCTTAATTACAATAGATAATTTTAATTACTGTATTTTTTGCGATATACAATAATTAAAATATTTTTGTAATATATATACTGCACAAATAATTCTATAAGTCGTTCTATAACGGTTTTTAATTTATTTACAATTTTTTTTTACTATACAATATACTTAAAAACGATAACAAATCTGTTTTAACTACTACATGTTACTTCAGATCTTGAATTGTGATTGGTCAAACATTTGAAAACAATTTTTGTGGGTGCGCTAACTAAAATTACCCTTGTAAACATGTACAGTATCTCAAACCCTATTGGAAAAGTTAAATTCATAAGAAATTTATTTAACCAATCAGAATATCTTCTGATTAACAAATAAAATCAACCTTCTTTCTAAAGAAGGATCACAAATAAGAATAATTTACATTATACACGAATGATAAACCAATTACAAGAATTGAATAATTTTTGCAACATTTTAACCTAACACAAAAATAAGATCATAAAAAAATAATAAATTGTTCGAAATACCCCACGAGGTATGTATCTGAGATATCACCGGATTAGGTTACCCCTTAACTGTTATAAAGTTTGGATATTCATGATAGTCATCCGACTATGGATGATGAATCTCCACAATACCTAAACAAGAATTGTATAGTGTTAATATGATTTGGATGAGTTTTTTTTTTTTTAAAAAAATATATCGATTTATAACAGATCAATTCGTTACTTTAAATATATCGATATCGATATCGATATCTGCGGTATGATTCACATACTATTACAAATCAATATAAATTATTATAATTTATAATAATAATAATAATGATCGTGAATGATTTAATGATAACATAAGACTGACTATCAAGGTATTTCATATGAATCTATTATAAGCCATTTCAGCCTCTTTATCGCTTACCGACTTATACAAGTTTTGTTAGCAAAAAAAAACCGGAATAATTAACAAATGAAACAATGATACATTTCAATCATTATGTACATATACAGTATATATTACGCATATATAAATTTTTATTAACGTTTAAATTATATTATCGTTATGCTAGTTTAATCTAAAAAATTTTATACCTAAATCCAACTTGATAAACTAAATCCAACTCGATTAAAAATTAAAATTATGTACTGTTTATAATAAAACGAAGCTGTACAAACTCTAGCAAAAAAAAAAAATTAAAAAAAAAGAAATACTTTTTTGATAGAGAATAACTGAACAAATAATCCCCTCTTATATCAGAATTTTTAATTCAGTATGTGTGACGTAGAATTATGATTGAGATAAACCAAATACATTTTTAATTATAAAGTTCATATATACAAGAGCTATCTATTTCTAATTTTTTGTTATAGTTTCCACCTTCCTAAAATAGAATCACGAAAAGGTTCTAATCGAAACTTTAATTCTTTTAATACTTTTGAAGGAGGATCCCAATCTTCATATAATTTCTTTAATCTGGTAACCTCATTTACTAAAAATGGATTTCTTGTTACATTTTTGTCTTCCAAAATACCGCGAACTGACCAAGGTAAAAAATATGGATTAGATTTTGGTTGTGCTTGAAATTTGTTAATCTTTGCTTCACTTGTTCTCAATGATGGTACTTCAAAAAGATACTGTACAGCAAGTCTATAATAAAAATCCAATATTATTATTATTATTACTGTTGTTATTAGAAAAATTATTAAGTTATTAAATAAATACTTACGTGTAAACATCAATTTCATTATATAAAGTTGAATGACCTTCACCATACAATGAACCTATAATAACCTCACTCAATTGAGTAATTAGTCCATGATCCAATATACCAGCATTTCGTAATTTTACAGCGAATATAATTAGATTTATCAAGAAATCATTTTCTTGATATAATGGACCATCAACATAAACTGCACGCATTATCGACGGATGATCTACTCCGGTAAATATCCCAGAATAAAGCTATTCAAATAATATAAATCTTTAAAAAAAAACCAAATAAAAAAATGAAAATAGAGACAATATATATAAAAATACATACTGGTACAACTTGATCATCCATCGAAGCAACATACACCAATTTTACGCCTTTCTGAATCACAATATTAAGAGCTTGACGGTATTTTTTAGCGACAGCACTTTCAGAATCCATAAATTCAAAAAGCTCTCTAGTAGCATCAGCATCAGGATTTCTACCAACAAAGTACCTTATTATGTAATGATCTTTTAAATATGGAAACGGACCATGAGAAATTCCAGCCATAGCCAAAAAACATATACGTTGTCGCTTAGGATTCACAAGACCTTCTTTAATAAGTCTTGAAAGGAGGATAGTACCAACAGGAGTGCCTTGAGAATGAGTTGCAACAAATACGACATCAGCCAAAGACAGAGCTTCACACCAAGTCTTGTTATATAATAAATTTTTATGTAATAACTTTTCACGAGTTTCTATCGTTCCTTCACCTTCGAGTGGTATACAAGTGATTGCATCACTTGGTAAAGAAATATTATGTTTAGATAAATAACCCAATACAGCTTTAGCCATCATATCACAAAACTTTG